GTTCATTTTTCTGACATCACATTATCTGACCTTTTCCGCTTGACTCATACATATACTAGATATTGCAAATAAGGGAAACCATGGGACCTATGTTTCTTTGGGTACTTCCAGCTTTTTTCTGAGTAGTTTATTGGACATAAGAGTCTCATGGACTTTCCTGTACATCTCTAATGAAATCTTCTTTTTTTTTTTTGCCAGTCCTGGCTTTGAACTGTGATCCTCAGATCTCAGACTCCTGAGTAGTTAGGACTATAGGTGTAAGCCAGTAGGGTCCAGCTCTCTGATGAAATCTTAACAAAGAAAGTATTAGTGTCATTCTTGCCACATTCAACCTAAATTTTAACAAAAATATTCCTTTAAAATATGCCTAGTGGGCTGGGAATGTGGCTTGCCTAGCATGCATGAAGCCCTGGTTTTGATTCCTAGTACCACATAAACAGAAAAATCCAGAAGTGGCACTGTGGCTCAAGTGGTAGAGTACTAGTCTTGAGTAAAAGAAGCTCAGGAACAGTGCCCAGGACTTGAGTTCAAGCCCCAAGACTGGCAAAAAATTTCAGGAAAAAAAAAATTGGCTTACCCCCCTCAGCATCACCACCAGCAGACTGTGGCTGTTCCAATTTAGCTTCTAGTTCTTGCTGGGAACGCAGAAACCGACTGGGTTTAGGAGCACCTGTTGGCAGTTTGACCCATTCTTCTTCCAGCTCTTTCAACTGAAAATATCACAAAATATTTTAACTTATTTACGCATACATTGAAAGGTAATAATGAAATCTCACTCCCCATAACTAATATAGGCTAAAAGAACTTATTTACAAAGCACCATTAGGAAATATACTTAATATTTATATTCATTCATTCATATATTAGAACTCATGTATGTAGCTCTAACCAGGCAAACAAGAAAAAAATAAATTTAAATTGTATATATTTTGTAGCACAAGTCAAACTGATTTACATTAGTTACTACACTGAAGATGTATATCTAAGCACTAAGGAAGAAGAATAAAGTCCACTTTTTAGGATACTGTCATTTCATGAATTCATATATATTTGCATAACCAAAAAAATTACTAAAAATACTTTTAACAAGAAGGTAGACTGTGTTTCTAGAAGAAAGAGATTTAGATCAGTGATTAGTGCTTATCATAATCAAGACTGGGTTTACTTCCTAGGACTCCAATTCCCTAGTACCTCACCCCTTAAAAAAGATTAATTAGATTACTTTTAATACTAGAAAAGATTACTACCATACTAAAATCACTGAAGGCATATTTGAAAGGCAAAGCAACAACACAGAAAGGTAGGAAAAATCAACTGACTTTCAAATTAAGAATAAAAAATATGTATAAGAAGGGAATATCAACAAGGACAGGAAATTATCTCTTCATATTTACTTCATTTAAAGACAGCTGGAGAAGTTTGTGCCTCACCTGCACAGAATTTATATTTTGTAATGGCGGTCTCAAAGCATCCCGAATCCATCTATAAATCTCCACAGCAATTAGTTTGGCTTCATCTCGAACAGCTTTCTCACGAGACTCAAAGAGTTTTGGCAATACTTTGATAATTGGCTTAAGTAAAATAATTTTGGAACCAAATTCACTAGAAATAAAAAGTTGAGGGGAAAAAAGTCAACATGAAATATCATATTAAGTCAACATCATATTAATAGTTACATAGTATGAGTTTAAGGCACCAAAAGGAATTTATAATTATGACTATATTTTCATGAACTATTTACATCATTCTTCCAGCAATATTTATGTCTAAGACCCAAAATAATACTAACATCTAAAAACTAACTTTGCAGGTAAACAGATAAGGAGGAATTCAAATATATAAAGGGGCAATAAAAACTTAAAAATATATAGAAATTAGCCATGTGCCGGTGGCTCACGCCTGTAATCCTAGCTACTCAGGAGGCTGAGATCTGAGGATCGAGGTTTAAAGCCAGCTCAGGCAGGAAAGTCGTGAGACTCTTTTTTTTTTTTTTTTTTGTCGGTCGTGGGGCTTGAACTCTGGGCCTGGGCACTTCCCTCAGCTATTCAACTCAAGGTGAGGGCTCTACCGCTTGATCCACAGCGCCACTTCCGGTTTTCTAGTGGTTTATTGGAGATAAGAGTCTCACAGACTTTCTTGCCCGGGCTGGCTTTGAACAGCGATCCTCAGACCTCAGCCTCCTGAGTAGCTAGGATTACAGGCATGAGCCACCTGTGCCCAGCATTCGTGAGACTCTTATCTCCAATAAACCACCAGAAAACTGGAAGTGGCGCTGTGGCTCAAAGTGATAGAGTACTAGCCTTGAGCTGAGAAGCTGAGGTACAGTGCCCCAGCCCAGAGTTCAAACTCCATTAGCAACAAAAAAAATTAATTAAAAAAATACACACACGCGTAGAAATTAGTTCAAAGTGATACACAAATATATTAATATTCCTATAATTAAACCACAAATCCTGGCAATGTGCATTGAAGGCTAAAAATTACTCAATGCCAAGTGCCACATTTGAGGAACTCTTACTTTTTTCCCTGGTTGTTATAGCATGCCAAGTCAAGTTTAGAAGTTTCTATATCCATTTAAACCAGAAACTCAACTGATACTCTGTAACTGAACTAAAGCACAAAGAATTTACCTTAAGGCTTTCCTCAGTGTCTCTATACAGGCCACTATGATCTTGGGGTTCTTATTGTCCAGGCCTTTTAGAAGTTCTTCTTGCACAGCCTCTCCCTTCTCAATTTCTATGTACATAAGACAGATCTCTATGCCCAGTTCCTTGGCTTTAGCTTTAGGCTGATTGAACACTTTACTTACAACACCTGATACAACTTCTCCTGTGGTTCTGCAACATAAACAATCACCATCACAAACAAAAGACACATTTTAGTAGAAATAGTAGGAAAGAGGTTTTGAAAGGGTTTATCCGCTTGCTTAGAAACAAATTAGTTCCCAATTTTTAAATTTATGTTTGAGCTAGGGATGTAACTCAAATGGTAAAGGCCCTATGTTCAATCACTAATACCAATATAAATAAATGTTAAAAAAAAAAAACTTACCCAATCCATAAAAACTTAAGGCACGATGTGCTAGATGTAGTTTCAGTTTATAAGTGCAGAAAATTCAAATAAATAAAAAATTCCTTAGGAATTGGGAAGGTGAGGAGGAAAGGGATGGTAGGGGAAAAACAAAGGAGGTATCGGATAACAATGCTTGACAGGAAATAGACTCATTACCTTGCTCATGTAACTGTAACCCTCTGTACAGTATTATTACAATAAAAAACATATTTAAAAAATTCCTTGAAATACTACCATCCAAAGAAAACTATTTTAAAAAGTGGAAACTCATATACTTAGAAATCAAATGTGATAGTAAAAATAGTATTTCAACTTTTTGATATCCATTCTTCCAAATCTTTCTCAATTCGGTGTGTGTGTGTGTGTGTGTATTTATATTTTGTGTGTGTATTTTGTGTGTGTGTGTGTGTGTGTGTGTATTTTTCCTCCCAGTCCTGGGGATTGAACTCAGGGTCTAGACAGTCCCTGAGTCCCATAGCACCACTTCCAGCTCTGTTTATGCGGTACTGAAGAATTGAACCTAGGGCTTCATGCATGCTAAGCAAGCACTAAGCCACATTCCCAGCCCTGGATATATATTTTATAAAAATAGGATTATAGAATGCTTTTTTTAAAAAAAAAAGTAATTTTAAATAGTTCTATTTAGGACAAAAAAATCCTCATTTAAATTGATAAAACATGTACCATAAATAAGAAACTCCTTAGAAAACTTTATAGTATCTTCATTCCTTATGAGTCTCCTCTAAATCAAATAAAACCTATATTCTTAAGAGTTAGAAGAACTGAAAGGTTGAGATTACATGTACTATATATTAAATTAAAAAGTTTTTGATATCACAAGAAAAAGGAACTAAAAACAAACAATGGTTTCACTGCAGTAATATTAACTAGATGGTCAAATTATCCTTACTGGCATAATCTTTTTTTTTCAAATTCTTTATTGTGATTAAGTGTTACATAATTTCCCAAATTTCACAGTACTGTGGGATAGTGATGCCTAGTTAAAGTCAAAAACACATTCTAACTTTCATGGGGCAAATTGTCTATCATGGTCTATAACATTTATGAGTTCTATGAGCTTTGCAATAGTTATTTCTTCCACATTGGGTGATATGTACATTTCTTTTGTTTTACATAGCATCAGCTGTTCCCTCTTTCCCACTTATTCCCTCCCTCCCAACGCTGCCATTGAGTTGCTTAGTTCATTTTGATCAATGTCCAGTGCAGCTGATGGGTCCTTACTGCATAATCTTTGAAGTAAATACAATTTTTTTTTTTTAGATAGCCTGTGAACTCCAATAAAACCCCAGAAAACTGGAAGTGGCACTGGGGCTCAAAGTGGTAGAGCACTAGCCTTGAGCTCAGGGATAGTGCCCAGGCCCAGAGTTCAAGCCCCATGACCAACAACAACAACACAGTCTCAAAGATTTTTCTGCTGGGGCTGGTTTCAAACCACAATGTTTAGATCTCAGCCTTCTGAGTAGCTAGGATTACAGGAGCTACCAGTGTGTGATGAAAATTAGTATATTCTAAAACTGCTCATAACTAACGATCTATAAACATACATAAATTAATTCCTTAGTACCAGTCAAGATTTTGGTTTTTTTTTTAACCAGAACAGTAAGAAAACTACTTACTTTCCTGCTACATGAGCATTTTCAACATAAACAAGTGCAGCTTCTAGTCCTTTTAATTGAACCACTGCATTGGAATCTGTAACAAATTTTTTAATCAATCCTAAAAATTTGGACCATTCTGGGCTCTTTTCATCCTTTATTTTCTGGAAGATCTTCAGGGCATCTTCATATCCACTTAGTCTTGCTTTCCACAACTAAAAAGAAAAGTATTTGAAACAAAGCTTAACTATATTTTGTATGAATATTCTGGAGGAGAGGAGATAAAAAAAGAATACATTCCGGGCTGGGAAGGTGGCTCAGTGGTAGAGCGCTTGCCTTGCATGCATGAGCCCCTGGGTTCAATTCCTCAGCACCACATAAGCAAAAAGAAAAAAGCCGGAAGTGATGCTGTGGCTCAAGTGGTAGATTGCTAGCCTTGAGCTGAAGAGCTGAGGGACAGTGCCCAGGCCCAGAGTTCAGGCCCCAGGACCGGACCCCCCCCAAAAAAAAGAATACATTCCAACACTAGGTAATTTGAATAATGAATCCAATGTCTGCAGACAAACCAACTAAAAAGAGTTAAATAAATTGACAGTTTTCAAAAAATTAGTACATAAGCTTCTAATGAATGCTTTACTAAGGTTATCTAAAATTCTGAGTAGCTATACATTATAACTATATTTATTTACTTTGTTATCAGGTATTATACTATTACACACACACACAGACACACACAGACACACACACACACACACACACGACATTCAAACAGGAGAAATTATACTGATGGCCAGGAGGAAATAGAACCATGGCTCAAATAGTATTATGCTGGCCTTAAGTGAAAAAGCTAAGGGACAGTGCCCAGGCCCTGAGTTCAAGCCCCAATACCAGCACACAAAACAACAACAAAAAAAAAACAAGAAAGAAACTTCACTGATGAAGCTGGGTAGATGACAAAGCTTCCAGCACTTAGGAAACTGAGGCAGTAGGATAATGAGTTTGAAGCCAGCCTAGGTTACACAGTGATTCTGAGGCTAATCTGAACTACTCAGTGAAAACCTATTAAGAGAAAGATAAGAGATATGCTGAGAATGGCCTTGAACTGCTATTCTCTACTACCCAAGTAGCTAGAGTTTTAGGCTTGAAGCACCAGCTCCAGATAAATTTTTTAAATTAATTATTATTACCTTTAATGAACAATTGACACATTGAATATGTCAATTTATGAGTACAATGCATCTTAATTAATGTCAACCCATCCATCATCCTCTCCATCTCTCTGAAACCAAACTATACCCTCAAATAACCTGGTTCTATTTTCATGTATGTATGATGATTATGACTGCATTTGCCCAACCCTTGCTCTCCATTCATCTGCCATCCTCTTTCCTTGATTTTCCCGTAACTTGATAAAACGTGTTTCAGCTTCCTGGTATTCATTTTGTTAAGCTGTAAATTAGTTGTTCAAAGTAGTTATACCACTGGAATTCTCCCCTGAGTATATCATAGTCAATTTGTTTGTGTATACATGTATATAACTCTGTATGTTTCCTATGCTTATAACTTAGAACTTCTACATCTGAGCCTGACTTCACTTAACATAATTTTTTCCAGGTCAATTTAGTTTCCCTGTAAATTACATATTATTATTCTTCCAAATGGATGAGTAAAATTCACACACACACTCACATTTTCTTGATCCACTCATCCATTGTAAGGTAGCTGAGCTATTTCCATATCTGAGCTATATGAGTAGTATAGCAATGAACATGGGTGTGCAAGTGTCTTTTCTATCCTGACTTGAATTGCTATGGGTAAATGCCCAAGGGTGGTTATTACTGATGATAAAATTACTTAGGAAGTCACTTCTTAAAGTTATAAAGTGCTTCACTTCATATTATTTCTTTGGATTTTTCTAGAGTCACAAAACTGTTTACATTGATCTAATTTTTAATGACAAAGTAACAGTACTTAAGATATTAGTGTTTTTCTAATCACAATGTAAAGAACATATCTTAAGGCAATAGTGTAATTGCTGAGAAAGAAAACCAATTTTACTGAAATTTAAACTGCAGAAAAGTCTTACCTTGTGTTCACATTTCTGATCCACTGGCAGTTTCAACCATTCGTTGTCATCTCCCATTGTGCTTCCAGTTTTTCCTTGGACTTAATAGTAGTTCCTGGTCAGATAAAAGAAGGTACCTAGTAACTCTAGCAATCAAGTAGTCTTTTAAGAAGGAAAAAAAAAAAGGCTTTTCTAAGATTCTTTTATCAATAAGAATAAAAAACCCACTGTCTTGTTGGATACCTACTTAATTCCATTAAGGATAGTATTTATTAGCATACATTAGGAATACAGAGGGGATTTTCATTATTACATTTCTACTCTTGTATACAATATATTTCAATCAGTCTCATCCCTTGTATCACTCTTAGTCCCTTCATAAAACAATTTCAACATGTTTGACTGTTCTACTTTCATCCATTTACTTTGAACATACTATATTATTCCTCATTCATTCTCCCTGTTAGCCCAACCTCTTTCTGCTAGTACTCTCCCAAGAAGCCTGTTTCTCTTTCCCAATACCTTACTGATCAACAGTTTTCATATGTAGCTGCAGGGCTGGGAAGGTGGCTCAGTGGTAGAG